GTAGGACGCAGTCATGGCTCCTCTGAGATTCTAATGAAAGCTATGTAAATCCCAAGAAAGCTATGTAAGTCCCAGCCTTTGCACAATTCCAAGGGGTCTGACAGACTTCTTAGAACCATCGGATAACCTCCTCCTCCCCAGAAGGATTTACAGGTCCCAGATAACGAGCCCAAGTCCAATGGTCTAAACCGAGGAGATGGTCCGACTCCAAGTCTTGACCCCGATCCAAACCGCTGCTGTGGAGCCTTAGAGCTGTAACCAAAACAAAGGAATTCAGCTCACACCCGGAATTCCAAAAGGGTACCCCCTGGCCAAAGAGGCACCCACAGCCGCTGAGCAGCGACCAAATCCGATGCAAAATGAGGGGTGGAAAATGTGGGCTTCTTGGATTACCGCCCAAATTTTAGGACGGTCAACGGTCATTTCCAAAGAAAGGTTCAACGTCAGTGCTTGAAGAGCTGTTTGAAGCAGGGTTTCCTGAATGTTCTGGGAACCGAAGAGAAAGGGGGACGCGGCAGCGGAAGAAGGAGATCCTAATATTTTCATTTGAGTCCACGAAACACAAAGCAAACATCTACTAAAAGACACCAAAGCCCGAAACCCACCGACCAGCCCGCACAGAGAGCGCGGGAGCTGGACGACAAAGCGCGAAGACCTTTGGATCCTGTAGTCCCTCACTTGGCCCTCGCCGGAAAGCTAGAAAACTGGAAACCGCCTGGTGACTACAACTCCCAGAGGGCAGCGCGCCTCGCGACGCTCACAGTCCCGCATCAAAAGAACTGGTCCAGAACTGTATCCCTAAACCCAAGCTTCCACGCTTCACAAGGCAACTATATAATTGGGTTCGGTGGACTAAAGTTTGGGACCCAGAAGTAGAGGCCGCCTTACCTTCTCCGGGAGGCAAAGCCGCGTCGACGCGCGCCACCGCCATACTTCCCGCTTACTAATAATACCAAGCAACCGTCCTCCAGCCGCTCTAGTGGAGCTTGTAGTCAGGAGAGAGCCGGGAACTACGACTCCCAGGATGCACAGCACTCACACGACCTAATTGGCTGTTTAAACATAATGAAGCAAAACCAACATTGGAAATTGACTTGTAATGAGCTCGGGAGTTCACTCATTTGACAGATGCGTGAATAGCACTATTAGATAATCATTTCATGCTCCTTTTCTAGGTGTTTGAGAAATTTGACACTTTTTACCTGGTGTGGCGCTGTAGGTAATGCACTACAAGTTTGACGGTTCAAATTCACCAGCCGCTCGTTGGAAACCCTATACAAAGTCGCTATGAGTTGGAACCCACTCGACGGCACTTAACAGCAACAACAAAACCATCTAGGTGATTATAAAGACGCTACTTAAAGTAATTTAAAAGCCCATTATCTGAAATCTTACGGGGGACTTCCTCATTTTGATTGAAACTATTTTGTTGTGGTAATCAAATGGATACATTTTATCAAAAATTAATTAAATAAAGCATACTGAAGTAGAAGGTTTTTTTTGTTTGTTTGTTTTTACATTACAATATTTTTGTTGTTCTTTTATGTTGGGGGCGGTTATTGCTTGAGTAGTTGTTCTCAAATATTCAACAGAACTTTTGACTGGGACTATGAATCCAGAATTTTTCCAGAAATTTTTTACAAAAGAAGTTGAAAGTGTATATAGTCTCCAAACTCAAGAATTACACTGTGAAGTTGGAAAAGAGTAGGCTCACACTTTTAATAGACTTGTTAAATGGTATGCACAGTCACTGTACCAAAAATAATTGGTAGATGCTGTATCATTATAAGAGATACCATATAATCAAGAACAGATCGTGCTGAAGGAAGAAGTCCAAGCAACACTGATGACACTGGGCTCCAGGAATTGACAGAATACAAATTGAAATTTTTCAACAAATTGATATCACACTAGTGATGCTTACTCATCTATGTCAAGAAATTTAGAAGACAGCTACCTGGTCAACCGACTGGAGGACATCCATATTGTGCCCATCCAAAGAAAGGTGACCAAATGGAATATGGGAATCATCTAACAATATCACTAATATTACATGTAGGAAAAATTTTGCTGAAGATAACTCAAAAATAATTGTAGCAATACATTGACTGGGAGCTGTCAGAAATTCAAGCCAGATTCAGAAGAGGACATAGAATGAGGGATATCATGGCTGACATCAGATGGATCTCGGCTGGAAGCAGAGAACAGCAAAAAGATGTTTACTTAAGTGATTAACTTTGCAGTCTAGGAGCAGAGGTCCCTGGGAACATCAAGGGAGAAGAGCAGAGAGTGGGACCCTACCCAGAGAAGCAGTGATGCCAGAGATGGAGGCAGAGACAATGACATGGAGAGATGGAGCAGCTGGGGACTTTAGACCCAGACAGGGAGAGAGGCTGTATGCTGACGACCGAGGGGTAGGGGGGCAGGCTTGCAGGTTATACCCTGTATAGTTGATGATGCATGGAGGGGATTGTAATCATGGCAATGAAACGATATACAATAGGATGAATGTAAAGCTCATGTTCTCCCATGTAAACTATCACATAATTCACAATAAAACACTTTTTTAAAAAAAGATGTTTACTTGTGCTTTATTGACTACACAAAGGTTTTCGACTCTGTGGATCATGACAAACTGGATAACATTGCGAAGAATGGGTATTCTAGAACAATTCATTGTGCTCATGAGGAACCTGTACATAGACCAAGAGGCAGTCCTTCACCATACTTATTTGTGTTCGGGTTGTATCCCTTTACTGTACATATTTGATTTGTATGCTAAACAAATAATCTGAGAAGCTTGATTATATGAAGAAAAACATGGCATCAGGATTAGAGGAAGAGTCATTAACAACTAGCAATATGCAGATGACACAACCTTGCTTGCTGAAAGCAAAGTGGACTTGAAATACTTACTGATAAAGATTAAATACTATAGCCATTACAGTGGATTGCACCTCCCTGTAAAGAAAATGAAAATCCTCATAACTGGACCAATAACATCATGATAAATGGAGAAAAGATCGATGTTGCCCAAGACTTCAATTTACTTGGATCCACAATCAATGCTTCTGAAACCAATGGTCAAGAAATCAAAAGACTTATTGCATTTGGAAAATCTGCTGCAAAAGACCTCTTGAAAGTGTTAAAGAGCAAAGATGTCGCTTGATTCAAGTCATAATAGTTTTTGTCCATTGAGGCTTTAATTTGTTTGTATGTATGACATCCCTAAAAAAACGAATCCCAGGATTTTCTCTCCAGTGCACTGCCATCTTGATTCCTCATGGTCCATGATACCAGCTGAGTGAAACCAAATTGATGAGACAGCAGCAGATTATTCTGCCACTATTCTAGGTCCTTAGCTGCACATCATTTCATGAGCTGATCATATCACATTTGTTTAACCTGCCTGTGAGGTTCATAATAATTTCCCTAGCTCTATGATCATCAATGATTTCAAATTCACTAATATAACCATGCTTCATCATCACAGTCGGGAACCAGATGATGACTTGTGAGTACAGTCAGACAAGAACCTGGCATTTGCCCCTTTTCCCAGAATTACTGATGCTCTTAAGATCATCAGCCAGGATGTTCATGTGCACCATGATGGCAGCATGGAAAGATGGTGGAAAGCATCCATCATATTTTTAATTGCCACATATGCCTGTGAAAGTTGGACAATGAATAAGGAAGACTGTACAAGAATTGCTGTGTTTGGATTATGGTGTTAGCAAAGAATATTGAAAGTGCCATAGACTGCCAGAACAACAAACAAATCTGTCTTAGAAGAAGTACAGCCTCAACTAATGATCTTGCCTGTAAACCTTCACTCAATTCACAATAAAAAGTAAAAATTTTTTAAAAAGGGACACAATCAGAGATATATAGCTGTAGTCTGAAAATAAATAAAATCACATTTAAATTTTAAAAAGAAGTACAGCCAGAATGCTCCTTAGAAACAAGGATGGCCACTTTGTCTCTTATACTTTGGTCATATTATCAGGAAGGACAAGTTCCCTAGAGAAGAACATCATGTTTGGTAATGTAAAGAGTCAACAAAAAAGAGGAAGGCCCCCAACGAAATAGATTGGCACAAAGGCAGCCGCAACAGGCTCAAGCTTAACAATTGTGAGGATGAGCTTAAAAGTTGAGTATACTCTAAAGAAATTCAGGAGCAAACAGTTAAAAAGACAGGGCATAGGCTTCAGATGGTAGTGAAACTGCTTGTAGGGACAGAATACATTAAGGGAGCTTCCACTTTTTTTTTTTTTTTTAACTTTTTATTGTGAATTGAATGAAAGTTTGCAGAGCAGATCATCAATTTTACATTACACAGATCATATATGTTGCTTCATTACATGGTTGCAATCCCTTCCGTGTACCAACAGTTAGCAGTATTTAGCTCTATTCAATTTAACTATTGCATTCCTCCCTGTGTCTCCTGCTACCTTCATCTTTCCTCTGCTAACCTCCCTCTTGTTGTATATTGCCTGCCCTGTCACCCATGTTAACAAGCTAACCCTCTAGTCTGTGAATTATTTTCCCTCCACCTACCCCACCCCCATAACCATCATAACTTTTATCAAAAACCTTTTTTTTTTTTACTTTTTACAAAATTGGTCTCACACAATATTTGCCTTTTTGTGACTAATTTCATTCAGCATAATGTCTTCCAGGTCCAACCATGTTGTGAGGGGGTTAACAGATTCATCATTATTTTTCAACGTTTGATAGTATTCCATTGCGTGTATGTACCAAAGTTTAACCATTCTTGTGTTGATGGGTGTTTAGATTATCTACATCTTTGTGATGTCTCTGGTAGACAGGCATATTGAAGGTTCCTGTTTTAATCCATATACATTACTGTCATTTTTCTGTGTTTTGTAGTGCTGCTGGATTCTTTGTTCTACATAATTTTCTGTGCTGAGTTCAGTTTATTTGTGGGTTTTCATTTTCATTTCTGATGTGTTAATGTTTTTTAAATCTTTCTGATTTTCTTCTTTTTATTTTTGTGTGTGGGTTATTATTTTTCTTTGAGGTTACCCTGTAATCTATTACTTTTTCCCCTGCTCAAAACTGCCTGTTTTATCTTGAAATGTACTTGAATTCCTTGCCATTTGAAAGTTCTGTGTCTACAGGGTAGGGGACAGACACATCATAGTTCGGGTGTTAGGGAGGGCAATACACAAGAAGGGGGAGGGGTTGGAAGAACAAGGTAGATAGGGGAACACTGAAACAGGTTTGCATGGGCTAAATGGGGCAGAGGTAAATAGTGATGCATGCTTAACCTTGGGACAACAGGGCTCTGTGATACAAGGATCGAGGCATAGAGGGGAAATAATACTATGATGCTTGACTGTCTTATGGATATTGGTTTCCCTTGCCTACTATTGTAAAATAGACACTTGAATGGAATAGAAAGGAATGTCAGGAAACATGATTAAAGAAAACTTGTAAGCCCGTCTTCAGCCTATAACTGATTGGAATAC